CACTCGGGCCAACACTGCTGATGTGTTCACCAAGGCGCTTCAGCCTTGTGACCATCAGCGCTTCTGTACTGTTCTAGGCCTCGTGCCTACTGGGCCTCACTTGCTTACTTCTTGACTCTGCTTGTACTGTGATCTCTATATATATACCTGCTTGTTTACTCTTGCTAGGTTGTGATCACTGTATCTCTTGTTATACTATCAACCTGCATGTGAACTGGTCTTGTGACCACTTGCTTGTGCTCAGAATTTGTGTGGTTTCCTTGAGATCCACCCTGAGCTTGCTTTGCTTTGCTTTGACTGGTCTTGTGACCATCTGGTTGTCTCCCACTTAGCCTATGGGGGTGTGTCAAACATTATATGTTCATATTGTGTAGGCTATAGTGGGTTTAGCCTTAGGGGGTACAGCTTTGTTAGGGTTTCCTACTTGTATCCCCCTCCTACCTAGTTTCATTCATTCTCGTTCTATTCTGGATTCTAACAGGGAGTACAAGTAGGAAAACCTATAATGTTGTACCCCCTAAGGCTAAACCCATTATAGCCTACAGAATAGAAACATATATAATGTTTGACACCGTGTTCTTGGTCGAAGCCGCGTACGACCCAGCGCGCTTTGAACTTGTCTATGGTGCCATCTGCCTTTGTCTTCACACGGAAAACCCATTTTCCGGTAAGTATTGTCTTGTTTTGTGCCACGCTGATGGGAACAACCTTCCAAGTGTTGCGTTCCTCCAGTGCTTTCAGCTCCCTGTCCATGGCTTCGCGCAATTTTTCTTTATGCTCCCCCCCCAGAGCCTGCTGAACCGTGGCAGGCTCCTCAGGAATCGCGACGCCGTGGACCGCGGTGACGTGGCCGAGTATCTGGAGACCACTCTGTGTGTAGCGGGGGAGTGTTGTGTCCTCGGGATAAGCTGCTTCGTCACCTTCTTCTGGATCAGGTAAGAAGTTGGGTCCTATGCGTTCGGCTTCGTTGGTGTTGACTCGGGCAGGTGTAACGTAACCGTTGTCGGCGAAGTCGTAGAAGACTTCGGCGTTGATGCTTTCGCGAGGGTTGTCATCGTCCATTGGAACATCCACCGAGTAGTAGGGATGTGGTCCGGCTTCTTCCGAAGCTCCGTCCATGGTCTGCTCGTCCAGGTCAGCTTCATCTTCTGCCGAAGCGAAGGCTCGGTCCCCACGAAATCCGCCTGTGACATCTCGTGAAGTCTCCAAGTTGTGCAGGTACGTTGAAAGGGTGAGTCGCTCGTAGAAAATGACATCACGTGCTGCTACTGTTTCCTTTGAGTGGACGTCGAAAATCTTCCAAGCATTGTAATTCTTTTCAATGCCCAGGTGTAGCCCCCACTGTGCGCGTTGGGAGAATCGGCCAGCGCGTGCAGCTGGCGGTCGGTACTGTACCATGCAGCCGAAATTTCGCAACATTTTTGTGCTGCCCAGTTTTCCTGTCCACAGCAGATGCGGTGATGCGTTGTTCGGAAGCGATGATGACGAGAGCAAGTTGTGCAGCATCACGGCGTGGTCCATTGCCTCGGGCCACTGGTGGTTGGGTAGCCGCATGCCACGTAGCAGCTTGCGCATGGTGTTTTGAAGGGTCCTGTTCATTCTTTCTGCTACACCCTGCTGTTGATGGGCGTAGGGAAGGGAGATGAGTCGCTTGATTCCTCTCTCTGCCAAGTACTGCTTGAACCTCTGTAAGGTGTATTCTCCTCCCCCGTCAGACTGAAAGCTCTTCAGCTTAACTCCCGATTCCCGTTCTGCTACTGGGAGCCAGGCTACGAAGGCTTCGAAGGCCATGTCGCGGATTGGAAGGTTGAGATGCCAGACATAACGAGTGGCGGCGTCGATGAACGTGATGGTGTAGTTGTATGCTCCTTGACCGGGTTCGCGATTGTAAAGTATGTCGCTGTAAACCTTCTCCAGAGGTGCGTACGCTGGTGCGCTTGGATTGTGATGGGAAATGAAGGGCTGATGCGGTAAGTCAGCTTCTGGGCAGGTGAAGCAAGTTCCTCTCATTCGTCGAAGTTCTCTGCCGTCGGGTAAGAGGAGTGAGTCTTTGTCAAGAACGCCTGCTCGTATCGTGTTGTTTAACGTCGTGTTGCTTGGGTGTCCCATTCGCTTATGCCAGAGATCTTCGTCAGCGCGATGTCCGGGTGAGCGACGGTACAAGTCGGAGTTGGAGTAGAAGCCTGCGGTGTGGTTTGCGCTTCGATGGACTTCTCGTGGGGTTGGATTCAACTGTTGCGAAGGAGTCGGTGGTGTGTTGTCGACGAAGACCGGTGCCGTTGAAGGACCCGCGATTGGTGCCGATGTTGTCTCTGCTGCTGCTGATGTTGTCTCTGCTGCTGCCGGGTGTTGAATCGTTGCTAGTGCTCTTGTTCGTTCTGCCTCAGGGATGGTGTGCGAGTACCAGAAGCCTTCGGGACTGAATTTGGGGTCGAGATCCGGTGGATGTGTCCAGGAGGTGAAGGTGACGATCCCGTCGCTGTCAGCGGTGCCAAGATCTGGGACGAAGTCGAGGACGAAGACGTTATTTTTCAGGACCGCCTTCCCGATGTAGAGACCGCCCTTCCCGTGGTATAACTTGAACTCTTGTGTTGTGCTGTCTGCTTCGAGGTGGATGCCTTTCGCCATCAGCTGACTGACGCTCAGTAAGTTGTAGCCGAGTCCCTCCGCAATTAACACCTTTGACATTTGCAGTATTACGTTTGTCTCTCGTGACTGAAGTTGCACCACACCTTGTCGTCGTGTGCGCAGGTTCTGGTTGTTGGCGACGGTGATGACAACTTCGCGTTGAAGTTGGTGCTCGCGTTGAACGAAGTGTCCTGAAGAGCACATGTGACGTCCGCAGCAACTGTCCAAGAACCACGTATCTTTCTCAGACGGCTCGCTTTGAGCGATGGCTGCATATGTTGGATTTGGTTGAAGTGACTCGCGGCGAGGGGTGCTGTTGTCGAGTTGTTCTTCCGGTGAGTAGTGTGGTGGTGACTCGGTGATGCAGGAGTCAGTCAGTCTTGCCATGCAACTGACAATGTTTCTTGCTCCTTGTGCAGATTGTGCTGACGACGTCGTTGAAGACTGCAGTTGATTCGTGGGGTGTGCTTGCGTGGACGCCACTTGACTGCTTGAGGGACGAAGTTGACGTTGCGGCGTTGAGTGCTGTCGATTCGGGCAGTGTGTGCGAGGGTGTCCTGAAGTCTTGCAGAGATGACAGAACGGAGGTACGGGTTTAGGTTGATGCCGATTGTTGTTGTTGTTGTAGCGCCGTTGAGTGTGAAACGCAAACTCGGGTACTGACGTCTTCTTTTTGTGCCGTTCTTCTTGCAGATCCATGTCTTGCTGTTCAGCGTGAATTTCAGCGCAGAGTGCTGCTTCGGAGATCTTCCCGTGAGCTCGGAGTATGGCGCGGGTGGAGCGCCAATGAGGACCAAGGCCGCCAATGATGACTGTGACGAAGGCGTCTTCCGATATCGATCCTCCGCATCGAAGGAGTTTGTCGCGCAATTCGCGGCAGCGACTGATATACGCCATCCCCTTTTCACCCGGTTTCATTTCCACTGTTGTCAGTTGTGCCATTAACCGACTCTGATTGACGCTGTCTGTTGCCTGATACAGGTTCTTCAGGTGGTTGTACGCAAGCTCGGCAGAGTTTCCGTATCCTCGGTAAGACCGAATGTTCTGCTGCTGGTTCGGTGTGACGTTGCGCAGTAGGATGGTATATGCCATCATGGATTGATATGTATACTGCTGCTTGTCGTATTGTGTTCCGTGCGTTGGATATGGCAGGGACCCGTCGAAGAAGCCAAGAATCTGCGCGCCTTCCATCATCAGCTCGAATTCGAATGACCAGGTAAAGAAGTCCTTTCCGTCGAACGGTCTTGATGTCTGCAGTTTTAAAACGTGCGCAAACTGTGACTGTACTTGAAGTGCATCCAATGTCTTCTCTTGCTCAGGTGAAGGCTGCTGGCGCGGCATGAAGCTGACGGAACCACGCTGGGGTTCATACGGGGCGAAGGTAGGTTGCTGTTGCTGATTTCCTCGTGCGTAGGATGAACCATCGAGGCTCATCGGTGTTACATCGTTGTTGTTGTTGCTGTTGTTTGACTGCGCAGGTGCCCCTTGCTGGTGTTGTTCGTAGAAGGACATGAAGGAGAAGAACTTCTCCATCATGCTTGGGTCGAAGCCCGCGGCTTGATTTGCGGGAGTTTCAGTAGACCCAGCTGCCGGTCTTGTTGCTGTGCCCTCCTCTGTCTGTAGGCCAGAGGCAGGAGGTGGAGTAGGAGTAGTACCGGGAGAGCCGTTAGAGGAGCTTCTCTCCTTCTGCGTTGCCATGCCTTGTGATGTTGAGGGTGTCTTGGTTGTAGCAGAATTTGTCCTGATAGCTCTCATACCATGTTGGGCTGAGAAAAGCCCTTAGGATCTTTGCAGGACTAAACTCTGAGTAGGAACAGTGTAATAGCGGAAGCGTTTAATGATAAGCCTGTGAACCACCTTGCGCTGGTATGTGAGGGCAAAGTAGATTTTATTAAAACAAAGAGATACAGGCTTTTATAAGAGTACAAGGAATACGAAGAGATACTGTTAATAACCGTTTTACTATTGCTGTTGCGGTTCGATACAGTGACGACTCGGGCAACTGCTCAATAGCGAGTCAGTTGTTTGTCCTTGCTGTCGCGCTGTATTTGTCAGGTCAAAGGTCGCTGACCTTTGACTTTCGCGTAACCTCCAGCAGTTGTTCAACCTCCGAGGGTTGACTCGCTAATGCTTCGATATGTTTCGCTTCGCTTCTGACTTGGTGTTTCGACACGACAGAGGCGCTAAATCAATTGTTTCCAACAAGATTGACAACCCCATTCAAATAGATGTAAGCTAACTCATGAACTACATTACTTCACCAAAACAATACCGCGTTCCAAAACACTAGTTGCATTCAACCTTTACAAAAGCTCCTGCAACCTGAAAAGGATCTTGAAATATTAGCGACACCTATGCGCTAGCCATCAGACCTACCAGCCTGGCATGTTCGTATCATTGCCAGGCCTCAGCACTCTACCCCCTCCCACGTCCCTGCCCCCACTCCCTCTCCCACCATCCGCACTCCTCCCCACCATTTCCTTCAGTTTCGCCACCTCAGCTTCACACAGCACCAGCGCATTCCGCACCTCTGAAAACGTCGGATCCCTGGGGGACCCGTCACTTAGCGGAGAGTCTCGCTTAGCGGCCTGCCGCAGCAGCTGCAGGGCCTCCTGGGTTAAGCGCAGGCGCGAGACGGAGGAGAGCGGGCGCAGGCGTGAACGGTCTCTAAGGGCCAGCGCCCAGTTGAGGAGAGCTGGAGGGAGGGGGGGTGCCAGAGGGGGGTGATATGGGGTTGGGAGGGAGTTTGGGATAAGGGGAGAGGAGGCAGCTTATGGACAGGCAATGTGAGAGGAAGGTAGGTGGAGGCAGGAACAATTTAGAGAGGCAGGAAGCCAGCGGATGAGGGGTGGGAGAATGAGGCTGGGACGTAAAGAAGACATGCGGATAAGAAGAGAGCGCTGAGTAAAGAGGATAGAAAAAACACAACAAAGAACCTGGCTGGGAAATGAGTGGCACAGCAGATGTGGGAGGAGGAAGTGGGAACGAGAAGACAGATGTGAAGGCACTCACCACTGGCGTGCCAACGGTTGGTCATCGAGAGCATGGCCTCAAACTTGTCAATGGCGGCACAGAACATGCGGTCTGCTAGCGCCTTGTACTCCTGGCGGGGGAGAAAGGGAGATGGGGGAAGGGGGAGCATGTGGGCAAGAGAGAGAGGGCGATGAGGGGAGGCAGAGCAGAGAACATGCGGTCTGCCAGCCCCGTGTACTCCTGCCAGGGATACTGTGTGCTCCATTCCCTCAAACTTGCCTCTCCTTTCCCCTCTCCCCTTTCCTCTTCCTTGTTTTTCCTTCTCCTCACTCTACTCACTCTGTTCTCCCCCTCCCCCTCACCTCGTTATCCCCAGCCTCCTCAGCCACAAGCTGCCCGCGGTAACAAAGCGCGAGCCCCCAGTTGAAGAGCAAACTCAAATTTACTACACCCGGCGGTACTACCTGAACCTCTGCTGTCTCGTCCAGTCTTTACCCTCTGCGCTACTCCCCCCCACCTCATTGTCCCCAGCCTCTTCAGCAACCAGTTGCCCGCGATAACACAGCGCGAGCCCCCAGTTGAAGAGCGCCCTGGCGTCCCTTCTGTCCATGCTGAGCGCCTGGCGGTACTGCCGGCCCGCCTGCACCAGCAGCTGCTCGCACTCATCCGCCAGCCTGTCCATCACTGCCGCCGCCTCCCGACCCACCTGCTCCTGCTGCACCCCTGCCAACCCCCCCGCTCCCTCGCCCCTCGCCCCACCGGCCCCTCCCAGCAGCCCAGCAAGCGGCGACTGCCCCCGCAGCAGCTGAACCGTCCTCAGCTTCACCTCCCCGTGAGCCAGCAGCGCGTTCCCCAGCTGCCCCACGGCCGCCACGCTCACGGGGTCCAGCTGGCACGCGCGCTCAAACAGCGCAGTGGCGCGCTCCAAGAAGGCCTCCGCCATGCCGATCTCTATGCGCCCCTGCAGCCCACCGCGGCCCTCCTGCAGGAGGGTCTGCCCCTCGGACATGTACTGGTTGAAGCGCTCCCGCATGGAGAGCGATGTGCCGGGGCCGGCTGTTGCGGGGGTTGCGATGGTAGCAGTGGTTGGGGTGGCCGGGGTGGTTGGGGTGGTGCCGATGCTGGCGCTGCTGCTGTTGTTGCTGCTGCCGCTGCTGGTGGTGGCGCTGGTGGTGCTTCTGGGGTTGGACGAAGGAGAAGCTGGCCTGGCTGTGTTATCAAGCCGTGCAGTCTGCTCTGTACGTTCTATTGCCCTGGGGGCAAAAGATGCACTGTCACCACCAACTATGCTAGCTCCGCCAGCATCCCCCCTTGTCCCCACGTTCTCCTGTGCTCCTCTCTGCTGCTGCTGCTGCTGCTGCTGCTGCTGCTGCTGTTGCAGCAGTGCGTTTGTCTCCCAGGTTTCTTCTTCTCTCTCCACTCCCTTACCCTCTCTTCTATCTTCCTCCCTCTCTCCCGATCGCCCACCCCACTCCCTCCCACCAGCACCACTCTCCCCCCCAACCCGCAATAGCATCTCATCCCTCCCCTCCTCACCTCTCTCCTCTTCACCAACAGCGCCCCACCCTCGCCGCCCTCGCTCTCCCTCGCCTCTTCTATCACTCCCCACATAATCACCACCACCATACTCGCCCCCTCGTGCTACAGCACCACCTCCCCCATCCCTTCCGCTTGCCCTCCCACCCCATTGCTCCCTTCCCGCTCGCCCTCCCTCCCCTGCCTCCCTCCATCCATCCCCACCGCCCCTCCACTGCCCCTCTCCCCCTCTCCCTTCCCTCTCCCCGCTCCTCATACCAGACTGCTCGCCTGCTCCTCTCCCCCAGACACCACCATCCCTTCCCAATCCCCCCACCCTCCCATTCCTCCCCTCGTTATACTCACCACTCGCCTGCTCATCCCCTCTCCATGATGAATTCTCTCTCCGTCCCCCCTGCCCTCTCACTCCCTCGTCCCTTACCCCTCCCTCTCCCTGCCCAAACCTCTCCCTTATCTCCCCACGCAGCCCCTCTCCTCCTTCCCTATCCCAACCCTCGTCACTATCCGCATTCCACTCGCCCTGCCCATCAGTCAAATTCCCATCGTTATAGTCCCATTCCTCCCTTTCCCTTCCACTCCGCTCCCCCGTTCCGCCACCTCCGCCACTCCCCCTTCCCCCACCCCCTCCTCGCAGTGCAACCCATTCTTCTCCCCGCTCTCCTCTCATCACTCCCCCTCTCTCTCCTCCCCTCTCCCCCTCTCTTACTCTTTCTCTTTGTCCTCCCCTCTCCCCTCCCCTCTCCCCTCCCCTCGCCCCTCCCCTTTCCCCCATTCCCCCTCGCGCCTGCCCTGCACCCCATCCCCGCAAACTGTCACCTCCGCTTCCCCTCATAGCGTCTCCCCACCCACCCTCCCCCTCCCCTCCCCCGCCGCCCCCACCACCCCATCCCCCTGCCGGCTCCCCTCCCCCTCCCCTCACCGCGCTCGCCACCCCCAGCGGCATCTCCCTGCCCGTCCGCCCGCCCCTGCCCATCCCCCGCCCCCCGCCTCTCCCCCCGCGCCCCCTGCCTTCCGCCTCCCACCGCAGCGTCTGCTGCAGCGGCCCTCTCACGCCCACCGCGGTGCTCTGAGGCGATTCAAACGACGCTCTCGCCCCGACTGCTGTGCTTTGAGGAGCGTCGAAGGAAGCTCGCATTCCCATCCCTGCGCCTGCTGCTGCTTGAGGTTGAGGCGCCTCAAGCGACGCTCTCACGCCCACGAGAGCCTGCTGCTGCTGATTCTGTTGCTGGGCCGACTGGGATGGAGGCAGCGGATTCGGGTGGTGCAGCGAGGCAGGAGGGCGGCGTTGGAGGGCCGCGGCGGAGGAATCAGAAGCTTGCACGGAGGAAGCGGAACGAGTGGCGGAGTTGGAGGTGGTGGTCAAGGAGCCCGCAGCTGCGGCGACGATGGCGGTGCGCGCAGCCATGGATAACGCGAGGACGCGCATGAGGTTGGTCGGATCGAGGGCAGCTGGTGATGACGTGTCATAAGAAGACAGTGACGTGGCATCGGAGGAAGAAGGAAGAGAAGTCGACTGCCTGGGGGAGCTCCATCCCTGTGCCTGGTTTCTGGCCCCACCTGGGGATGGTGTGCTGGAAGGATCAGCGGAATTCGATGCCGCGAAGCGGATACCCCACCTGCCAGCATCCGCATTATCACTCGCCAGAGCATCCGCGTGATCGCGGCCTTGATACTCGCTTGATCTCGCCCAGTCGTCGGCATCTGGTCTGGCCCATCGTCCACTCCACCCCTCCGCTGCTCGCCGAACTGTCAATCGCCGATGCCGCGACGGTGTTGATACACGACGCGACGGAGTTGCTACGCGGAGCGACGGTGTTGTTACACAATGCCAGACGGATAACGACGGCAAGCGATGACAGCCGGAATGACAGCGATTAAAACAACCGGCAATTTTCTGGGTTGCCATGCTTAAATTCGATAATAGCGGTGGCAGCGGTAGTGTATGGACGGTTGTCTGCACATAAACGCACTCCATTACGGATAGGCGTGATGCTCGCCTAAAATACGATTAAGAATGGCCCGCGATTCGTGGAAAGTGGCTACAAGCTTTCGTGCCGGGATAAAGGGTTGATTGAGAATCTGGGGCCGAACAAAGCTAAAGCATGAGTGGTATCTAGTGCTAGTTCCCTATTTTCATGGGACCAGTGTTCAGCTTTCAATTCATGAGTTCGTCCATCCCGTTCGGTTGACTAAAGTGCTGCTGTGGTGTGTGACTGAAGCCGATTCATCGAGGGATGACTAACTGAAGAAAGGGGTGGTGAGGATTTACAGAGAGTGAAAAAACGGTTGAAATAGAAAGAAGAGTGATGAAGGGACCTTGTCGGAAAATCCAGCTGATCCTAGGGAGTTAGGCATAGAAGTTACGGCGAGGTACACGTCACAGGACGAAGCTGGCTTTTATTGGCTGGCAAGCGGGCTTTCGTCTGACGTCACTATTGAGTCACCCGCAAATACACGACCCTCGCAAAACACAAACGTATAAAATTATGTAGTTCGAAGCATGACACACACGTCCAAATTTGTGACTATCGTCACAGATCGGACGGCTGTATGTTGTCAACCCGTCAAAGGCACATTCTCTCGATGTCTTCTCTTGGAAGTCCACAAGAGGGTGTGCGCCTTCTCTATCCTCTTCCGCTACCCCCTCCTCAATCCTATCCCCCTCTGTTCCTCGTCCCACGCCCCCAGCAACCTCTGCTTTTCACCCTCCCCCCGGCAGAACCAGGTCCTTTTCCCCTCACCTATTCGCTCACCTCAGCAGTCGTAGGGTCAGGCAGGGCCAGCGTCGTGAAAAAATCTTTACACGTCCTAGAAGCATCCCATAAGCAAGGTATGAGCTCCTTCCGAGTCGCGCAAGTATATTTATCGGTGTAAGCCACCTTTTAGCCCCGAATTTGTGACAGATTTTGCCATCCCTTAGTTGTCTAGTTGCTTATTCTCTCACTTATGTTATTTCAGATGGATCGGGAGAAGCTTATGAAGATGGCCACTGCCGTCCGCACCGGCGGCAAGGGCACCGTTAGGAGGTACAGTTTTACCAGCTTCTAGGGTTCAAGATACGAAAGGCGAGGGACGGATGTAGAATATTCGGACCTGCTCTTTTGCCAATACAGAAGGCTCTAGTAGGGTTTTGGTGTCAGCAGGGCCGTCTTGCATATTGATTGAGCTTGCTTCTGGAGTTTGGCGCTCGAGGGTTTTTTCTTTACTCCATATGAGTTATTCTCTGTCTAGATGCGCATGCAGTTGCTGTTTAAAAACGATTAGAGTTGCCCTCAAACTTCTTCGGAGCAGTTATTCGAGAAATTATTGGAGTCGGTGCGTTTAGCCGTTGTCATACCGCGTGTTCAGTATTCGTTGCTGATTCAGGACTAGTGCGTTTTTCCTGGTTCTTCATTCGTGTCAGGAAGAAAAAGGCCGCTCACAAGACGACGACGACCGACGACAAGAGGCTATCAAGCACTCTGAAGCGCCTTGGAGTGAACACGATTCCAGGGATTGAAGAGGTCAACATTTTCAAAGACGACACTGTCCTCCACTTCTCCAACCCTAAGGGTACAATCGCGCTGCTTTCCTGCTGCCCATCATTTTGAAGTACGCGCCTGTTATGTGTCCAGCAGCCTGAAGAAATTAGGGTGTTTGGAGCTTTATGCGTGACATCCCTTCTTTTTGTGCACGTCGTGGTCATTTTTCTTGAGCTGGTTTTCCTAGCTGGAGTTTTCCTCTTGCCCATCCAACATCTCGGCCCTTTCAAACGTGTCCGTTCTTCTTATCTTCACTTGCAGTGCAAGCGTCCATCGGAGCAAACACATGGGTTGTCAGTGGCGTACCCCGGGAGAAGAGTAAGTTTCATGTTCGCCTTCCTTGCGATCCTCCCCGTCTCCCCTTCAATTTTGGTCGCGCACATTGTTGTCTTGCGACTTACGGGTGTGAGTGCTGTGTTTGGTTCTTTTTTGTTTGTTTCAGATCTCCAAGAACTGCTGCCTGGCATCATCAACCAGCTTGGTAAGTGGAAACGAGGGAAAGTTATGTGTGACGAAATGAGTGTGGATTAGATTGAACGACATAGTGAACATAGGATTAGTGTTAGCGCGCTGGGATGAATAACCTCACACTCACGCCTTCGCGTCATAGTCTAAAACGCATTGTACTCAAACAATTCCCCCCTCCCCCCCCCCCCCCCCCCCCCCCCCCTTGTTTTTTCCAGGCCCTGACAACTTGGCTGGACTGAAGAAGATTGCTCAGGAGTATCAGAAGGCGGGTGAGGCTGCCGCTGCTGCCGGGGCTGCTGCTGAGGATGACGACGAGGTGCCGGAGCTGGTTGAGGGGGAGAACTTCGAGGATGCTTCCAAAAAGGAACCAGCAGCTGCAGAGGCTTGATTGGGTCCACACGCAAGTGGGTTGTTCAGGCGCTGCTGGAAATTCTACAAGTTTAGCTCCTGGAATTCTGAGAGGGATGTCGCTTAGGTGTGGTTTGGTGGGAGAATCTGCTGGTCCTACAGTATGGGATGACTGGATGGTGGTGTTGCCTGTCTCCAGTTCATTTCGTCAGTGTTGCAGCTGGTTCACTCAGCAATCACGTTGTGTAGGAAGACGGGACTATGGTAATTCGTATAGGACCGTCATAGTGGGTTTCTTTTTTCTGATCTATACCCAAAGTGTATCTGCCCCTCGACGTCTATTGGAGAAAGCAAACTGCAGAGCTTTTATTCACCTTCTTTGAATTTCGGTTTGTTACAGGGAAAGTTTGTATAATCCTACTGCGTTTGGAAATGCAGTCGTACATTTGAGAATTAGCTTGGATTAATTGTGCGAGACCGCAAAACTAAGGCATATTTTGGATAAAGAATTTAGGTACACTGCAGAAAAGCACCACCCTATTGATAGCTACCGCATTTAGGCTACCACCGTCACAGCTCTGCTGGCACTTCGTTTCTAGATACGCGGCAGCCCACCACCACTTCCACAGAGAAATTCGGCGGTGGAATTCACCCTCCTGCGCCAGGCGATGTAGAGGGCAAACGTGGTTCTGACAATAGGCGCTTGGAAAGGACATGCAGTGCAACAACCATAGCTAGTGGACAGTACCCATGCTAGTGGACAGTCCTCGATATTATCCTTTCAGCCGATTTTTCGAATATTTACTCCTAGGACACAACGCAGTGGTGCGCCGCGGTTCTGTTCAGCGCGTCTCGAAAGTAAAGGCAACCACGCGCCTCAACCGTACAGTATCGAGGCGCGCGAAATGGTGGCGGTGGTACCTGATTCTACCCGATCCGCCATCGCACTCCGCAGACATGGCGGAGACACTACCTGCCTCGTACCAACAGGAATTTCAACGATAGTACCTTACCATAAAACGCAGCCATGGCCAAACAGTTCCTCACCAACTCTCGCCTTCGCCTTTCCCCTTGACTGGAGTCATTTTTGAGAACCCACACAACTCACTTAGCATATCCTCCACATTCTCCTCCGTTCGTTTCAGCCAGCAGTCCCCTCGGCTAGAAGTTCCGAATTGCCTTATAACGCGTATCATGGCTGCGGGTAAGCCGTCCTTCGCACTGCCGGTGCTCGTGCTGCTGCTGGCGGCGGCGTGCCTGGCGGCGGCGCAGGTGACCAGCCCCCCCAAGGCGGAGGTGGTGGCGGAGCTGAAGGCGCTCAAGCGCGCACTCAGGCTGCGCCCCAAGTACGCGCTCATCCGCCGCGTCGCCACCGAGGTGCTCTCCCGCCAAGGTGAGACAGCCCCCCCCCCCCCCCTCCGCGCGCGCGTGCTTTGCTTCGCCAGTCAGCAGTACTCGGCATTGAAAGCCTAATTTCATTTCCTCTTGTTCGTGCTAGACACGGCATCGCCTTACCAGCCGCCTTTTCAGTTTCTCCCCTTTAATCTATTTATTTGTAAAATATACAAAATCTCGTTTTGTTTTCTCCGCTCGTCATCGCGCCGCAGACGAGTTCCCCGAGAACTTCGATTTCAGCGACGTGGTGATCAAGACGCTGCTGCTGCCCACCAACGGCGCCTTTCGAGGCGCCTCAGAACTTGATACCAATTCCCCTTCCCGTTTCTCCTCTTTCCGGTTCTCCTCTTTCCCTATCACCAGACGAGTTCCCCGAGAACTTCGATTTCAGCGACGTGGTGAACAAGACGCTGCTGCTGCCCACCAACGGCGCCATCGTGGCCGCGGGCGTGCGCAAGCTGCCCACCAACGAGTCCGACGGCGCGCAATACGAGGACCTCGGCCTCATGAACGTGCTTGACGGGTACCTCACTATCGAGGATATCAAGGCCGGCGCGATTCTCAAGACGATGCACGACGACAGGGTTCTGGCGGTGAAGGAGACGCGCGGGGCGGTGGTCGCGCTGGGGCAGGAGGGGCAGAAGCGGCGGCAGTGGTCGGTGGTGGTGGACGCGAATCTGTTCAAGGGCAAGTTCGTCGTCGCGCACGGCGTCAACCGCATGCAGCAGCCGTAGACGGCTCTTTTCGCGCGCTCCTGCGGCCGGCGATGGACAAAGCAAACGTTCTGTCGCTGCTGGTTGTTGGATGTTGTTTTGACATTCGGACCAGCGCCGTGGGTCCGGTGTGGTTGCTGCTTCCTCCCGCGCATTTATTAGCGAATGCTTTCCTTTCAAGACGGACGTTCCTTCCTAGGTTGTCATCTCGCCAGCCATTCCGTACCTCTAGCTGCGGCTCCTGACCTAATGTCGTCCGTGCGGCTGCCATGCCAGAGCCGCGTCTGCGCTTGCTGGTTGTATCCATACTTGCTGCGACCAGCAAGCGGAGACCTAGCGCTAGTGTGCAGAAGGCAGATCTTGGGTATGTTTGTCCGCGCTATTGTGTGACCTGCTCGTTTGGATTCTGTGTGCTTGTACGCTTTTAATATTTATAAGAATCATTGCAAATTGTTCCACAAACGGGTAAAGAGAGTAAGTCACCCAAGGGAAAACGCTTCTGCAAGGTTGAAACTGGTGTTAAACATCATTAGATTCTTAAAACATTCGCAGTGCTTTGTTAGTGTATACGCTATAAACACTTGTGGGAGAAATACCGTACCGGTATGTCACTGCCTGCTTATTCAATGCTTCTGTACGTTTCTTCCCATTTGATACTGCAAAGTTTGAGAAGGTGGAATATAACTACAGAGAGGCCCCGCTCCATTGCAGGGCACTCCTCACTCCTCGTCGCGGTCTGGCGGCAGCCCACATGGCAGTAGCATGCGCTGTGATGGTGTGGAGGTGAGGAGATGAGTGGAGGAGTGGACAAATGGACGAGTGGAGTGGAGTGGAGTGCCCGGGACAGGGTAGGGAATCGGTAAGAAAGGAAACTGAGCTGGACATATGGAGCAGACACAAAGAGAGAAACTAAGCCTTCTGAGTCGACTCAGGCACAGAAAAAGGAAAGGGCTTTAATGAGAGAGAAAAAGGAAGTTGGACATACGGAACAGACACCTCAAAGAGAGGAAAACAGAGTTGGGCGTAGGAATTAAGACCGCCTTTAGCACTAACTATTCAAGCCAAGGGCATGTCCACTGATCGGGTATGCACCCATGGGATGTGACTTGTCTACATTTTCACAAGTGCCTGAAACGAAATAATCTCATATGGGATGCGGAAGTTGGCTATGTGAGGGCCATGCCATCATATCCACATGCCACCATGCCACCATACAACCATGCCATCATACCATCATGCCATCATACCATCATGCCATCATACCATCATACCATCATACCATCATACCATCATGCCATCATACCATCATACCATCATACCATCATGCCATCATGTCAGCATGGCGCCACGCCATGCTACAGCACCAGCCCGCATCCCTGATAACCTGCATGAACCTGTGTCGCTGGCGCCTAATGACACAGCACCGGCTACAGCACCTCCCACAGCACCAGCCACAGCATCCCTTGAAACACCTGCATGAAGTTGACTGTAGCGGCCAAAACCAGTTCTACAATCTAACCAACAGCACCATCTTACAGCACATACCAAAGCATCCCTCCTTGTTCTGACATTTAGGTCGACTCAAAAGTAAACACATGCCACAGCATCCCTCCCTGTTCACCTGCATGAAGCTGCAGGTGATGCTCGCTCGCGACCAATTCTACAATGTTAACAACAGCACCTGTGAAGTGAGAGCACCGGCCACATCATCCCTCTCATCACCTGCATGAAGTTGTATCGCTCGCGGCCGATGCTCTCATTCTCCGCCACGGCAAAGAAGGCCAGCAGCGGGTGGTGCCCCACATAGGAGGCGTAGCTGTCCCTGTGGATGTTCACCGCCCACTCGCTGGAAGGGGGAGAGATGAGGGGGGAGAGAGAGCAGGATGAAGGGGCGATCGGTGGGAGGGTGGAAGGCCAGCAGTGGGTGGTGGCCCACGTACGAGGCGTAGCTGTCCCGATGGATGTTCACTGCCCACTCGCTGCATTGACGAGGGGACAGGGGAGAGAGTGCAAGATGAAGGGGCGATCAGTGGGAGGATGGAAGGTCAGCAGTGGGTGGTGAACCACATAGGAGGCGTAGCTGTCCCTGTGGATGTTCACTGCCCACTCGCTGAGGACAGGGGGAATGTATGGGGAAGGAGTGGGAAAAGGGGAGGGGTGGGGGAAAAGGGGAGGGGGAGGAGGGAAAATGAGGGAGAATAGGCAGAGTGAAAGGAAAATAGGCCAGCAGCGGGTGGTGCCCCACATAGGATGCATAGCTGTCTCTGTGGATGGTGTTCACTGCCCAATCTCTGCATGCACCGGGTGGGAGCTGGGAGGGACGGGGAAAGGGGGAGGGAAAGGGAGGGGGAGAGGGGGGCGAAGGGATGAGGGGGACAGGCAGAGAGTGAGAGGACAGAAGGCTAGCAGCTGGTGGTATGGTGCCGCCCCACATTGGAGGCATGGCTGTCCCTGTGGATGCTCACTGCCCACTCGCTGGGGAGTGGGGGGAGAGAGAGAAGAGATCGGGGAAAGGAGAAAGGAAGGTACAGGCGGAGCGAGAGAAAAGAAGGCTAGCAGCTGGCGGTGTGGTGCCTGCCCACTCGCTGTGCATTCATATACAAGGCATAGCTGTCCCTGTGTATGTTCACTGCACACTCGCTGGAGCAACGAGTGAGAAGGGGGAGGGACCAGGGGACGAAGAGCGGGAGGGAGAGGCGGTGGGCATAAAGGGAAGCGAGGCCAGATTGGTTGGCAGTTGATGGCGGCCCACACAACGCCACGGCGGGGCACTGCGAATGTGCAGTGTGCATCCAGGGCATGTGTTGTTAAGAGTTTGTTGTCCCTGTGGATGCTCCCCTCACCCTCGCTGCATGCCACGGGAAGAGACAGGGGCAGGGGGGCGTGGATATGGGAAAGCGGAGGCGTGCTGGCAGGTGGAGAAGCATGGCAGGTGGAGAAGCATGGCAGGTGGAGAAGCATGGCAGGTGGAGAAGCATGGCAGGTGGAGAAGCATGGAAGGTGGAGAAGCATGGCTCCTCCACTAGTTGCAACCAACTCAGTGCCTCCTGCTCTCCTGCTCTCCTGCTCTCCTGCTCTCCTGCTCTCCTGCTCTCCTGCTCTCCTGCTCTCCTGCTCTCCCGCTCTCCTGCTCTCCCGCTCTCCTGCTCTCCTGCTCTCCTGCTCTCCTGCTCTCCTACTCTCCTACTCTCCTACTCTCCTACTCTCCTGCTCTCCTGCTCTCCTACTCTCCTGCTCTCCTGCTCTCCTGCTCTCCTACTCTCCTGCGCTCCTGCTCCCCGCTCCCCACTCTCTGCTCATGTAGAAACCTCTGCTGCAGCATCTTACTACTGTAAGCCGTGCCTCAATAAGAGCCCTGTTTCGATAGAATCACATGCTATATGTTTGCATTCGTTAGCAGCGCACTCACTACTTGGTGGTGTCAGCATGTCCCGTGCCCACGTATCTCGCCTGCATGTGCTCCAACTGGCTGCTGATGTTGAAGCGATCGCTCGCCTGGTGAGAGGTAGCAGGGGTGAGGGGTGAAGGGCGAGGGGGAAAGAGGCGGAAGGCGGGAAAGGGAAGGAAGAATGTGGGTGGGCGAGTCTGCATGTGCGCTGATGCTGAAGCGGTCGCTCGCCTGGTGAGGGGTGAGAGGGTGAGGGGTGCGGGGGAAAGAGGCGGAACACGAGGAAAGGAAGAAAGAGAATGCGGGCGGGCAGGGCTGCATGTGCTGTTCTGACATTTCTCAGTGAGCTCGCTGCAGCTGGCTGCTGACGCTCCCCTGTTGAGAAGTGAGGGGTCAGGGGCGAGGGGAACGGGCGGAGGGGTTGAGGGGGAAGGGGGAGGGGACGAAGGGGGAAGGGCGGAGGGGACGAAGGGGGAACGGGCGGAGGGGCGAGGGGAACGGGCGGAGGGGCGGAGGGGGAAGGGCAGAAGGACGAAGGGGGAAGGGCGGAAGGACGAAGGGGGAAGGGCGGAGGGACGAAGGGGGAATGGCGGAGGGACGAAGGGGGGAGGGCGAAGGGACGAAGGGGGAAGAGCGGAGGGACGAAGGGGGAAGGGCGGAGGGACGAAGGGGGAATGGCGGAGGGGACGAAGGGGGAATGGCGGAGGGGACGAAGGGGGAAGGGCGGAGGGACGAAGGAGAAAGGGCGGAGGGACGAAGGGGGAAGAGCGGGGAGAGAAGGGAAACGGCGGAGGGACGAAGGGAAGCGGGGTGAAGGGAAAGCGAGGAGAATCGAGGGGTACGTGAGAGGCGGCAACAAGAGCTGTGTTCATGAGCGAGGCAGAGAGCATGAGAGGATGAGAGTAGACTTGTGACTATGAGCGACGCGTAGGACGGTAAACTGCATGCTATTGAGCCGACTGAAAGCGCGTGGGATGGACGGACGACGGATGACGATGAAACGCACCATGGCGAATTAAGGGAATGCGCAACGGCTGGCGGCTGACGCCTGACGACTGGCGGTTGACGGCTGACGGCTGGCGGTTGACGGCTGACGGCTGGCGGTTGACGGTTGACGGCTGACGGCTGGCGAATGACGGGTTGGTCGGTGATCGACACTGATCGCGCAAAGGACGCTCGCTTGAGGCGCAGACAGGATTCGACAAAAGCAAGCCGTTTTCGGCTCTGATCAGAATAACCGTTTTTTTTTGGGTTGCGTAGCAACCTTATACAATTGGTTTCACCTTTCGGGGAACTGACGTGAACAGTGACTTTCCCCCATCAAAATTGGAATCAAGCCCCATGGAGGGGGAGAATGCCAACCCTGATTCCCCGGACCAAGCGGAAAGGCCCCGAGCGCGGGGCCGGGGCCGGAGGCGACGGGCAACCAAACTGCAGCAGCTGCAGAGCGGAGGGCAGCAGCAGCTGCCGAGCGGAGAGCAGCAGCAGCTGCAGAGCGGAGGGCAGCAGCAGTTGCCGAGCGGAGGGCAGCTGCAGCTGCAGAGCGGAGGGCAGCAGCAGCTGCCGAGCGGAGGGCAGCAGCAGCTGCAGAGCGGAGGGCACCAGCTGCCGAGCGGAGGGCAGCAGCAGCTGCAGAGCGGAGGGCAGCAGCAGCTGCAGAGCGGAGGGCAGCAGGAGCTGCAGAGCGGAGGGCAGCAGCAGCTGCAGAGCGGAGGGCAGCAGCAGCTGCAGAGCGGAGGGCAGCAGCAGCTGCCGAGCGGAGGGCAGCGGGAGCTGCAGAGCGGAGGGCAGCAGCAGCTGCAGAGCGGAGGGCAGCAGCAGCTGCAGAGCGGAGGGCAGCAGCAGCTGCAGAGCGGAGGGCAGCAGCAGCTGCAGAGCGGAGGGCAGCAGCAGCTGCAGAGCGGAGGGCAACGGCAATTGCAGAGCGAAGGGCAGCAGCAGTTGCAGAGCGGAGGGCAGCAGCAGCTGCAGTGCGGAGGGATGGAGCTTGCAAGGCCGTTAGAGGGGGGCATGGAGACGGAGTCTAGCAGGAGGGTCTTGCCGGCGTGTTCGAGTGGAGAGGAGCACCCAGACCCTACATTGACACCCCCGCCCCGCATTCCGTGCGAAACCTGTTATCGCACGTTCACGGAGAGAGGAAAGGCCACACGCCATATGTCGGCCTGCAGGGCAGCGGACGCCCAGCGTCGTGCTCAGGCGCTTGGATTGACCCGCGACGTCACAGATGACTCGGACGGCGAACCCCCGCCACCACGTGATATCAGTGAAGAGGTATGGGCCGCAGTTCCTACATGGGACTGGGAGTCGTTTTTTGGGATCGAATTGGTGCCAGGGAGAATCATGCGTCGTATCCTACAGCGCGCTAGATTGGGGGTGCTTGATGCACTGTCTTGTGTCCTGAAGCGGCTACAGTTAAAGGCAGCAGACGAGGCGGCGTCCTTGGTCTTTTTGGCCTTCCCTCGTCTTATCTTGGGGATGCCAACTGGGCAAGGCCAGGGGCATAGGGCGGCAATCAGGGAGCGGTTGGAGAAGTTTTGGGTCGGGGAGTGGCGGGAGCTGTTTGAGTTGGCGGTGGCGGTAATGCAACCTGCGGCGCGTCCTTTGTCCTTCACCCCCCCCGAGCATGATCCTGATGCGGTGCGCCTGGCTCGCTGCCGCACAAGGTGCAAAGTGGGAGAATGGAGTCGGGGTTTGACGTGTCTTACTGCCGGTAGCATCGCTCAGCCCTCTCAGCACATGGTGGACGCGCTGCGAGCGAAACACCCATCGAGCGAGACCGCCTTTCCGGAGTGGTTGCAGGAGGAGATAGTTGAGCCTTCCCTTATCCCGCAGCTCTCAGTGGAGGTACTTGGTCAGGCGATCCACTCTGCGGCTAGGGCGTCGGCACCAGGACCGTCGGGGTGGGTGACGGAGCACCTGCGCGACACTTTTCTCTCTGAGCCCGCATACCTGCCTCACCTGCTAGGAGTCTTCACCCAGTGGACCAAGGGAGAGGTAGCGGAGCGCGTGCGACCCTGGCTCACTGCGTCCAACCTTGTGGGCCTGTCGAAGCCGAATGGTGACGTTCGCCCGGTGGCTATAGGCGAGGTGCTCCCCCGCATACTATCTCGGGCCCTATGCATCGTGCTTCGGCCGAAGATGATGTCGCACTTTGCGCCGTGTAACCAGCTAGGAGTCGGATCCAGGTCGGGAGTGGAAGTCCTCGCACATGCCTTTCGTTCTGCCATCTCTACTCACCCGTCATGGTGCGCGCTTCAAATTGATGTGGCGAATGCTTTCAACTCCTTCCATCGGCGGGAAATGTTTGAAGGACTTCGACAGTCGCCTTTTGCGGGTTTGATCCCATTCCTGCGTGTCTTCTACGGCACTCCTAGCGACCTCTACCTCCGTGCGGGCCCCTTCGTCGAAGCTTTGGCTTCAGAGCGAGGATCGAGGCAAGGGGACCCATTGGGGCCGTTTCTGTTCGCGTTCACACAGCAGCTGGTTATGGAGCCCACCAAACAAGAATTCGCCGACCTACTCTTTCTCAGCTACGCCGATGATACGTACATCTTGGGGCCTAGGGAGCGGGTGCTAGCAGCTTATGAGGTCTTGCGGGAACGACTGGGCGGGCTTGGTCTGGAGGTGCAGCCGCATAAGTGCAAGCTTTGGGAGCGAGGGGTGGACCAGGAGGGAGAGGAGAGGAACGAGACCGTCCCGCCCGGCATGCAGCAAACATGGACGGGGCTCACCGTAGTGGGGGTTCCTATTGGGGAGGAGGAGTGGGAGGTGGCCAGCTTGCGAGGCCGGCTGATGCAGCTGCATGCACCTGTCCCTTGGCTTCCTTTGCTCGACCACCCACAGATTGCGTCCCATCTGCTGGCGATCGCAGTGTCAGCGCGCCCGATTTACCTCACAAGGACGATGCCTCCACGGCCTGAGGTTGTGGAGGCTTTCCGCGACTGGGACACGAAGCTTGAGGATTGTTTTGAGCAGCTGTTTCCAGATAGCACCTGGGATCATGATTCGGCAAGGTCGCAGATGGCCCGTCTACAGCTGCACCTTCCAGCCAGACTTGGAGGGTTTGGCATTCGATCTGCAGCTGACCTTAGCCCTCTCTCGTACGCATGTGGTTGGTGCCAGGCAGTGAGCGATGTGGCTCGGATGGGGGTGGCAGGGGAGGAACGGATGTTTGAGGAGTTTTTCCGCACGCCTGAGGCTACGACCTTGCTGGATCCTTGGTTTGCGAGAGCAGTGGAGCTGCTGCCACAGTCGGTCAGGCAGGAGATGCCACCCCTAGCCTTATGCACCGCTGACCCCCCTGTGCTGCTTTTCCCCACACAACACCGTCGCCTAGCGGTTGAGAGTCTGCAGACTCTTCGGGGTATGGCCCACGACGACGCCACCATGGCCCGTTTGACATCCCTTCAGGGCCCGGGGGCAGGGGCGTGGGTCTCCTCCGTCCCTTCGCACGAAGAGGCTACCTTCACCGCAGCCGAGTGGAGCATCTGTGCGTCCATGCGCCTAGGCCTCCCCATACAGCAGCTGATAGTCGCCGGCAAGTGCGCGTGTGGGTTTGAGTTTGCTGATCCCTCTGACCCGCATCATGCCCTTATCTGCAAATACCAGTACGCACCTTCTCGTGTTCACGACGCGGTTAAGTTTGTGGTGGCGAAGATAGCTAAAGGGGCGGGTGGGGTCGTGACCATGGAAGACGACACGTTGCTGCCAGGGAAGAGGGTGGATGTGGCGGTGCGGAGACTGAGGGAGGGGGAGGAGCATGCGCTGGAGGTTAGTGTGGTGGACCCTATCTCGTTGTCCGCGCAGCACCATGGACAGATTGGTCGCAAGGTGGGTTTTGCCGCTAGAGAGAGGGAAAAGCGGAAGGCGGCGGACTACAAATTGCTTCTGCAGCGACATAGGGGAGTGCAGTTTACACCTCTCATTGCTGAGACATGGGGTTGCCTGGGGGGGAGTTTTGGGCGGTGGCTTAAGAAACAGGGCGACGCGCAGATTGAGGTAGCGAAGACGAAAGGGGCGGCGAGAGCTACGGGGAAAGGTTTCTCGGCTTACTTGCTTGGATCACTTAAAGCGGCCATAGGTGTGGCTTTGCAGCGGGCTCAGGCGCGTGTGATCTTGTTGCGCGCGGCGTCGATGATGAGAGGCCCAGAGGCTGTTTCGGTGGAGCGGGAGGATTTTGAGGAGGAGATGGGATGGGATGCTCCGTGGGCGGATGCGCCCTATTTGGTGGACATGCGGGTTTAGAGGGTGGGTTTAGGTGAGGGGGGTGGGGGGTTTGGTTAGATGGGGCGTATTGTTGGGGTGTCTCGTTGGGGTGTCTCGTTGGGGTGTCTCGTTGGGGGTATCTCGTTGGGGTGTCTTTTGGGGTTCCTTATGTGCTGTTCTACTAAGGTGTTCTTGAGGCTGCGTTTTCCAAAAAAAAAAAAAAAAAAAAAAAAAAAATCATACACCTTGGTTTCCGCCATCAAACTCGTCAGGACTCAGGACACTACTACATATGCACTGGCTTCTGCTCCGCAGCAACCAGATTTGAAGCATTTCTTTCAAAAAAAAAAAAAAAAAAAAAAAAAAATGGAGGAAACCACTGTTCACATAAATTCCACAAAGTGTGAAATCAAATGTATTCAATCATTCCATAATCGTCGATAAGTAAGGCGAATGGAACGATTGAAAGGTCATTCCGCACAAATGACAACACCCAAAAACACACCAACACACACTAAGGACCACATTTCTATCATTCAAAAACACGTACCCATACAGATATGACCACACAAACGTAGACAAAAAACGCATTTGGAAGTCGTACCGAGGCGAATACTAAATGCGTCAATGCTACAACTGAGATTGATATGGTACGGAAGAGGCGAGCAAAGCTGCCCCACCGACGATCACAACCACAGTTGCAAGCATGAAGCACTTAACACCACACCTCTAAACAGGCACAAACGATAGCACGAGAACTAAGACAAACGGATGACAACAATTGCGAAAACTCCGAAGCGCATACTAAATGCATCAATGCTGCAATTGAGATTGATATGGTACGGAAGAGGCGAGCGAAACTGCTGCCCCACCGACGATCACAACCCAAGTTGCATACACGAGGCACTTAGCACCACACTTCGAAGCAGACACAAACAACACTGACACAGGTATACACATGTACATACACACACACGCACACTCTCTCTCTCTCTCTCACACACACACACACAGGCTCACATATACACACACACAAACAAATGCACAAACATACAGCTAATAAGCATGCAGCGAATAGAATGAAGTTTAGTCATGTATAAATTATCACTAGTCTGTCCCCCATTCCCCTCCCTCCCTCCCTCCCTCATCTCCCTTCCCCGCTCCCTTTTCTCTGCAAGAAACAATGGATGCAGCTTGAACTCCCTACACAAGAAAGAAGAAACAACGAATGTAACTCACTCCCTGCACAAACAAAAACAAAAGCAAAGTACAACTTGCATGAGTTGCACAAGAAAACAAAATCAGAGAATGCAGCTCACAAGATTGCACAAGCAAATGTAGCGCTATAGACATTGTTGATGAATAACCCTCACACTCACGCCACACTCACTCTCGCACTCACTTTCCCAACCGCTCACGCACACACTCAACTCTTCTTTTACAAACTCATAGAAACACACACTCAAACCCTAGCACTCACCCTTGCACTCGTGGTCGCACTCACCCTCACACTCACACAGAAAATAACACATGCACACGCACACACAATCGCATGAACCCTCACACGCACCCTCAAACTCCCCCTTGCACTCATCCTCGCACTCACCCTCACATTCACTCTCGCACTCAACCTCACACCCACCCTCACATTCACTTTAGCACTCACCCTCACACCCACCCTCACACTACCTTAAGTCCTCACGCACGCATTCACGCTTGCAATTATACTTGCACTCACCTTCGCACTGCCATTGCAATCGCACCTGCACCATCACACTCAACCTCACACACACACACACACTCACACTCGCACTCACCCTTGAACTCGCCCTCTGAACAACCTCACACTCACCCTTCCATTAACCCTCCCGCTCACGCTCACACTCAAGCTAGCATTCAAGCTCACACTCACCCTCATTCTCACCCTTGCACGCACACTCGCACTCACACTCACACTCACCCACACACTCAACCACTCACACTCACCCTCGCTCGCCCTCACTCTCACACTCGTATTGCTCTCACACTCTTAATCGCAATCACTCTTGCACTCACGCTCGCACTTGTTCTCGCATTCACCCTCATACACACACTCGCACGCACCCTCGCACACACCCTCAAGTGCATGCGCGCACTCTCTCTCTCGCACCACACCCGTTCTCACACCTGGATTCAAACCTGCACTCACCCTCTTGCACACGCTCGCACTCACTCTTGCCGCAACTCAACGACACTCAAATACGTTCAACAGCTCTTAGACACACTCACTGAAAACACACACAAGCCCTCGCACTCACCCTCGGGCTCGCGCTCACTCGAACACCCCCACACACACATGCACACACAGTCACGTGCACCCTCAAACTGAAGGCGCACTCACTCACACCCGCACTCACGCTCACAGTTTCCCTCGCACTCACACCCACACTCATGCTTGCACTTGCCCTTGCATTCACAAACGAACTCACGCTCGCATTCGCCCTCGCCATCACACCCGCACTCACGTTCGCATTCGCCCTCGCACTCACATTCACGCTCACTCTCCCACTTGCTCTCGCACATGACATCGCACGCACCTTCGGACTCACCCCCGCCTCACTCTCGCACTGACACCCTCAATCATACCCGCGATTGTTCTCACCCCTGCACTCGCTCTTCACCTACAACCCTTCTTCGACAGTCACAGAAAACACACACAAACACGTGCACTCATCGTGGTACTCAACATAGCACACAAACTCGAACGCACTTTCTCACCCCCTTTTGCACCCACACCCGCACCCTTGCACTCAACCTCGCATTCACACACATACTCACTTTCCAACTCGCCGTCGCCCTCACACTCACTCTCACACTTGCTTTCGCACCCACTCGCGCATTCACGCTCGCACTTGCTCTCTCAATCACGTTCGCACTCGCCCTTGCGTTCACAACCGCTCACCTTCAAGTGCATGCGCGCATCTCACTCTCGAACTCACACCCGCACTCGCAACAAAAATCACACCCGCACCCACCCTCTCGCACACTCCCGCACTCACTCTTGCCGCCACTCACACACACACACACGCCCTAAGCGCAAGCGCCCACGGTACCAGCGCCCCAAGCACAAGCGGCTTAGGCGCAAGCGACCATGGTGCCCGCGCTCACCGGCGCAAGCGCGCACGGTGCTCTCTCTCCCGCCTCTCCCTCCCACACGCTCTTGGTGCTCCCTCGCCCCCCCTCTCTCCTCCTCTTTAAAAAATAGTGCAACGCAAGGAGACCAATCGACAAACAGAAGCTACAAAAAATGTAAGAAAGTAAGCGAATTTCAGAGGGGGAAAGGAGGAGAAAAAGACGGGGATAGGTAAGCGCACCTCAGAATCACGGCGCCTAAGAAACCATCTCGCGCTCGCCCGCCAGCTCGCGCTCATGCAGCTGTCGTCAGCGGCGACGGCGAGATGAGAGGGGGAGGCGACGGCGGTGAGAGGAGAGGCGACGGCGGGATGTGAGGGGGAGGCGACGGCGGGATGTGAAGGGGAGGCGGCGGCGGGATGTGAGGGGGAGGCGACGGCGGGATGAAGGGGGTTGCGACGGCGGGATGTGAAGGGGATGCGACGGCGGGATGTGAGGGGGAGGCGACGGCGAGATGTGAGGGGGAGGCGACGGCGGGATGCGAGGGGGAGGAGACGGCGGGATGTGAAGGAGAGGCGGTGGCGGGTAAGAGGGAGAGGCGACGGCGAACGAGAGGGAGAGGCGACGGCGAACGAGAGGGAGAGGCGACGACGGGATGGGAGGGAGGCGACCGCGGGGTGAGAGGAAGAGGCGACGGCGGGATAGGAGGGAGAGGTGATGGCGGGGTAGAGAGGGAGAGCCGACAGCGGGATGGCAGGAAGAGGCGAACAGCTGGGTGAGAGGGAGAGCTGATGGCGAGGTGGGTGGGGGAGGCGACGAGAGACGAGAGGCGAGGTGGGAGGGGGAAGGGTTTGTTGAGTTGGGGTGGGAGACGAAGGGATTGGGGAAGTTGCAAAAAAGTGGGAGAGCATACGTACAGTACAACTTGGGTTGGCAAAGTGTAGTTTCTTGAAGTGGTTCGGTTCTTGGGTCTGTTTTGCAACTGTTCGATGAAAACAAGCGACGGGAAATCGAGGCATGAGCATTATACATCGAAACACAAACAAATATGGGGCGAACTGCAAACTAGACACGTGAGACACACACGTAATGACGTGACACATCCAACGAAGTGCGTCAACTTCAAAGCAACACATCATGGTACACCCGCTAGAGCAACAACCTGACACTATATTATACTGATAGGTTGCCTATAGACATTACTGCTAAAAGCAGCAATTATAATTGATATTCAATAATGGTTACACAATATCTAACATCACAAGACAAAAACGCATCAGAAGAAAAATATGACGTAATAGTACGAAACAAGACTGAAGTTTTTTTAATAAATGGGAATGACTTGGGTATTATGGCTTGAAATAAATCCCAATTGACACAGAATGATTAATACTATAAACTTAGCTAACTACGCAACCCTTCCGACGATATCGTCGAGTCTTGTTGTGCTTTGAAAAAGGGTGGGGCTGCACTCGCTATAAGGTAACGGATTCCCATCTTCTGTATGTTCTTATCTCTAACACGTTTAGCCACTCTAAAAACGAATCTGCCCTTTTGTAAGTAAACAACTTCTCCTTACTTCGCGTCACAGTGCATAACGCGTACACGACTGTTTTGCCAATGTACACGCAACAGTAGCCCGTTCACCTCGCGCCACTCGACACTGTTCCCGCCATCATGACCATCGCGACCAAACCACCCCGCTTGGCTGGTAACCCGCGACCCGAACCTACGCTTCGACATTTCCCGCGGCGTCTGCGCTAGGCTGGTAGGAATTTCTCCTTCGATCTGCTTCATTCGAGTCTTCCCCCTTCGTGGAGTGCACGATTTACCTTGCCGTGCTTCCTCATCCCCCAGTCCATAGGAATACATTCGTTCGTCAGCAGCAACCCCACATCGCGCGAAAGCGTACTTTACGCAGAAGCCATGGACGCACCGCCTGATTTCCGCGTGACAGAAGAGCCGCGAGATCTTGAACCAATGAAAGGCGCGATCCAGTCAGGCGAGAATATCATCAACCGTCTGCCTGACGACGTGCTCTCTGCAATTCTCGAGCGCGCTTGTTCCAGCAAGGCGATGCGCCACGCGCTCGTGTGCCGACTATGGCTCCGCCTAGCACAACACTTGCAGCAGGCCGTTCAAGTCAGCGCCGAGCGCAACCTCCACGCGGGCGAGCTGCTGCGTGGCTTGTCGAGACTCCCCAATGTGACCTCGCTCACGCTAGCCTACAGGAGTGTCGATTTTCTCAACGACGAGTTCCTGACGGCGCTGCCATCCGCTTGCTCGCAGCTCTCCCGCCTGCGCCTAGGCGGGCCGCGGTACACCGGAGTGCCGCACTTCCGCATCACACCCCCGTGCCTCGGCCGCTTCCTCCTCGGCGCTTCGCGCCTCGAGGAGCTCACTCTCGACCACAGCCTCGGCCACATGACGAAGCTTCCTTCCTCGCTCGCATCGCTATCGTCGCTTCGCGTGCTCAACCTCAGCATGCCGCGCTTTACCGCTCTTCCCGACGAGTTCGGCGCGCTGCGCGCATTGGAGGAGCTCCGCGTCAGCTGCCACGGGCTGCAGAGCCTCCCCGCGTTTGTCACGCAGCTCACGCGCCTGTCCCACCTTTGCGTGGCAGAATGCCGCGCGATGCGCCAGCTCCCCGCGCAGCTCGGCGCGCTGAGCTCGCTGATGGCGCTGGAAATACACGGATGGTACCGCCTTGAGGGCGTTCCGGAGAGCATCGGCGCGCTCAAGGAGCTGCGACGCCTGGACCTGCGCAACATCTCCTGCGCGCTGTCCGACGTGGGGGAGGAGTGGCGGAAGCTGGAAGAATTGCGTCTGGAGAACGTCGACTGTGTCCACCTTCCGCCCATCTCCCTCGAGTCCCTTGCGGTCCTCACCATCCGCAAGTGCAGCAGCCTCCGCGCGCTACCCGACGACATCGGCATGGCGCCAGCCCTCCGCGAGCTCGAGATCGTCTTCGCGCCGATCACCGAGCTGCCCGCGTCGATCGCGATGCTGACGTCATTGGAGCGGCTGGTGTTGGCGCCGTGCAAGTCGGTGAGAGCGCTGCCGCCCACGCTGCTGGCGCTGCCGCGACTGGCGCACGTGATGCTGAAGAACGTGTCGTGCCTTGCTTCGCTGATGGGCGGCCAGCCAGTCGGGCGCCTCGCGCCGCTGCAATCTTTATCCTTCGAGAGCGCCCTCTTCACCCATTTTCCCCCCGCCCTCCCCTCGCTCGCGCCCTCTTTGCGCGCGCTCACGCTCGCTGACATCCCTGTGCTCTACTCCTTGCCAGCCGCAGTCTTCCGCCTCATCGCGCTCACCTCCCTCTCACTTCTCCGCCTGCGGCACATCAAGTGCCTCCCCCCTGCGCTCTCCGCGCTCTCCGCCCTCCGGACGCTCAAAGTCACCAGCGTGCCTAAGCTCGCGGCGCTTCCCGAATCTTTGCGCCAGCTGGCGGCGCTCGAGTCGCTGGAGATCGACGACCTCCCCAAGCTGCGAAACCTGCCCGCGTCGCTGGGCCGCCAGACGGCGCTGCGGAGTCTGGTGCAGCGCCGCGGCGCTCTGGCCGCCACCGTGACCACCGCCATGGGCGGGCTCAGCGCACTGACGCACCTCAGCGTCACTTGGTGCGCCGCGCTCACCGCGCTGCCAGATTCCATGGGCCAGCTGGGATGCTTAAAAACGTTGACTATAGACAACGCATCGATTGCGACCCTCCCAAACACTCTGAGCGGGATGACCCGCATGGAAGAGCTGCTCGTCTCCTACTGCCCCCACCTCACCGCGCTCCCCGCATCCCTCTGCTCCCTCCCCCGCCTCCACACGCTCTCCCTCACCAAGTGCCCCGCCCTTTGCGCCCTCCCCGACGCCATAGGCCAGCTGCCCGCCCTCAAGCATTTCTCCATCAAGGACTGCTCCGCACTCTCCCGCCTCCCCGCGTCCCTCCCGCGCCTCCCCGCTCTTGATTCGCTCGACATCGCGTGCTGCCCGTTGCTCACGCACCTCCCCGACGACTTCGACCCGCTGCCCGTGTCAAACTTATATGCTGCTTATTGTGTAGGCTATAGTGGGGTAACCCATATGGGGTACAACCCAATTAGGGTTTGCTACTTGTACCCATCTTGCTGCTAGTTCATTCATTCTCGTTCGTTCTTCTGACATGGTTTCAGAGCAGGTCCTAGCCCAGGACCGTTTTTTTAGGGCCCACCGAATCGCACTACCCCACGAGTCGCGCCGCCCTGTTCGTGCCGCGCTGCCCTGTCCTGCCCTGCGTCGCGCTCCCCGCGCACGCCTTGCCCTGCCCTGCCAGCGCGCAGCTCGCTGCTGCGCCGCCGCCCTGCCCGCGCGCCACTCACTGCCGCGCGCCCTGCCCTGCCCGCGCGCCGCCCGCCGCGCGCCCTGCCCTGCCCGCGCGCCGCGCGCCGCCGCGTCGCCCTGCCCGCGCGCCGCTCGCCGCGCCGCGCCGCCCTGCCCACATGCCGCTCACTGCCGCGCGCCCTGCCCTGACCGCGCGCCGCGCGCCGCCGCGTCGCCCTACCCGCGCGCCGCTCGCCGCCGCGCGCCCTGCCCTGCCCGCGCGCCGCTCGCCGCCGCGCGCCCTGCCCTGCCCGCGCACAGCTCGCCGCCGCGCGCCCTGCCCTGCCCGCGCGCCGCTAGCCGCCACGCGCCCTGCTCTGCCCGCGCGCCGCTCACCGCAGCGCCACCCTTCCCTGCCCGCGCGCCGTTAGCTGCCACGCCGCCCTGCCTTGCCCGAGCGCCACTCGCCGCTGCACCGTCGTGCCCTGCCCGCGAGCCGCCGTACTGGCCTCCGCCCAGCCCTGCCCTGCCTACACGCCGCCCTTCTGGCCGCGCGCCGCCTTTCCCTGACAGTGCGCCGCCCCGACCTACCCTAGTGCCTGTTCGCCGCCCTGCCTTCCCTGCGTGCTGCCGTGCTGGTCGCACATCTCCTCCCTTTTTCCCGCTATGACGTCTCTTCGTGGTAGCGGTGGGAGTGGTGGCGGCGGTGGTGGCAGCAGTGGGAGTGGTGGCGGCGGCCGAAGTGGCAGTCGAGGTGGAGCTGTTCGGTGGGGAGTTTCTGGCGGTGGCCAGACACAGCTCCAGCGACGTCCGCGCAAGTCCCTCACGCCCCAGCAGCTTCGTGAGTGGTACGCTAGTTGGGGTTGTGGCGGCGGCCGTAGTGGCAGTCGCCCTGGAGCTGGTCAGTCGAGAGTTTCTGGCGGTGGCCAGATGCAGCTGCAGCGGCGTCCGCGGGAGACCCTTACTCCCCAGCAGCTGCGTGAGTGGTACGCTCAGAGTAGAGGGTCTCGGAGTACTGCTCGCTGCCCGTACGTCATTCGCACAGGTGATCGGGCTGGTCAGACTTGCGGGACAGTTGGTCACACACAGTCCCGCTGCTTCGCCGGTCTGAGCGACGCCTGGCGTACAGAGTTTGGCGACGCGGCTGAGCTCCCCAGCTGGGTGGAGCTGCTTAGGAAGAGGGTGGGTATCTTTGCTCTTGACTATGATGCTATCCTCAGTGCCATGTATACATTGCCTGTTAGTGCTGAGGGTGACTGTTACCTGTGTGTGCCGCCCGACCCAGGTATAGAGGCTGCTGCTCTAGGTGCTTGTGAGTCTGTTGCTCTAGGTGCTAGTGTGTCTGCTGCTCTAGGTGCTGGTGAGTCTGCTCTCTCTGGTACTGCGCCTGCTGAGGCCTTGCACACCTTTACGCTTGACTCAGGTGCTTCCCGCTGTTTCTTTTGCGACGGTACCGCACTCACACCGCTCCCTGCACCTGTTGCTGTCTCTCTGGCTGACCCCTCTGGGGGCCCAGTCCTTGCACGTTCCTCCACTGTTCTCCCGTGTCCGGCGGTTCCGTCTGGCTCACTGTCATGTCTTCACCTCCCCTCGTTCTCTACAAACTTGGTGAGCAACGCCGTCCTTCAGGATGTATGGGTTTACACCTTTACTCCAGGAGGACAGCGTGTGGCGATCTGTACGTGCTCCCGGACTGGCCGGCACCTGGCCACGTTCACCCGTGCGCCTGGCTCGAGTCTGTACACACTGACTACTGTGTCTCCTCAGGTAGCTGCGTCTGCGTCTGCGTCGGGTCAGCTAGCGGCCCCCTAATCGTGTCGTGCTCTGTCGCACCAGACCCTCCTTTGGCACCACCGCCTTGGTCACCCCTCTGTGCAGCGCCTCCGTGGCATGCACTCCCGTGTCCTAGTCTCTGGACTTCCAAGGACTCTGCCTCCCCTCCCACCCTCGCCTGCCCCTCCCTGCCTTCCCTGTGTCGAGGGGCGGCAGCGCGCCGCTCCTCACTCCTCCTTGTTTCCCCCGACGACTGCTCCCCTGCAGACTCTCCACATGGACGTGTGGGGCCCAGCCCGCGTCCGTGGACAGGGCCGCGAGCGCTACTTTCTGCTGGTCGTTGACGACTACTCGCGTTACACCACGGTCTTCCCCTTGCGCAGCAAGGGGGAGGTCCCTGATGTTTTGATCCCTTGGATCCGCGCAGTCCGTCTCCAGCTCTGCGAGCGGTTCCACACGGACCTTCCATTCCTGCGTCTGCACTCTGACAGAGGTGGTGAGATTTCCTCCGACCTCTTGCGGGACTTTTGTCGTGGGGAGGGCATTCGCCAATCGTTCACGCTTCCGGCCTCTCTGCAGCAGAATGGGGTTGCTGAGCGCCGCATTGGCTTAGTCATGGAGGTCGCTCGTACCTCCATGATCCATGCGGCTGCCCCCCATTTTCTGTGGCCGTTTGCGGTCCGGAACGCTGCGCATCAGCTCAACCTCTGGCCCCGTGTCTCCTTGCCGGAGACCTCGCCTACACTGCGTTGGACGGGGAAGGTTGGCGATGCGTCGGTGTTCCGGGTCTGGGGTTCTCGTGCCTTTGTCCGCGATACGTCCGCGGACAAGCTCTCCGCCCGCGCCATTCCCTGCGTCGTCCTTGGTTTTCCCCCTGACGCGCCTGGCTGTCAGTTTTACCACCCCACCTCGCGCCGTGTCCTGCCCTCTCAGGACGTCATGTTCGACGAGTCGGTTCCCTTTTACCGTCTCTTTCCCTACCGCACTGCCCCTCTCCCCCACCCGCCGCTCTTCCTCGCACCAGATCCTCCTCCAGTAGAGCCCCTCCCCCCTCAGGGTCGTGCTCCCTTAGGTGTGTCTAAGGGTAGACCCTGTCGAGCCTGTCGAGGTAGCTGTCGACTCTGGTGCTGCTAGGGGTGCTGCGTCTGGGGGTGCTGAGCCTGAGCGAATGGAGCCGGGGGGTGCTGAGCCTGAGCGTGCGGAGCCTGGGGGTGCTGAGCTTGGGGGTGCTGAGCCTGAGTGTGCGGAGTCTGGGGGTGCTGAGCTTGGGGGTGTTGAGCCTAAGCGTGCTGCGCCTGGAGGTACTTTGTCTACTGGAGGTTCTCCGGGTGCCTCGTCACGACGGGATACTCTCTCTCCACCGCAGCTGCGCGAGTGGTTTGCTTGGCGCTGGAGCCTTCGGAGTGACGCTGCTAGAGCTGGGGGGCCTGCCGCTGGAGACCCTGGAGCTGGAGGCGCTGGAGCTGGAGGTACCGGAGGTGCTGGAGCTGCTGGTCCTGGAGGTGCTGGAGGTACTGGAGGTTCTCCGGGTGCCTCGTCCCGGCGGGAGCCTCTCTCTCCACCGAAGTTGCGCGAGTGGTTTGCTCGGCGTTGGAGTCTTCAGAGTGGCGCTACTGGAGCTGGGGGGCCTTCCGCTGGAGGCCCTGGAGCTGTAGGCCTTGGACCTGCTGGTCCTGGAGGTGCTGGAGGTACTGGAGCCGCTGGTCCCGGAGGTGCTCGTACTGGAGGTACTGGAGCTGCTGGACCTGGTGGTGCTGCAGGTGCTGGAGCTGGAGCTGCTGGAGGCACTGGAGCTGGAGCTGCTGGAGGCACTGGAGCTGGAGCTGCTGGAGGTGCTGGAGCCGCTGGTCCCGGAGGTGCTCGTACTGGAGGTACTGTAGCTGCTGGAGCTGGAGGAGCTGCAGGCGTTGGAGCTGGAGGAGCTGCAGGCGTTGGAGCTGGAGGAGCTGGAGCTGCAGCTGCTGGAGGTACTGCTAGAGTTGGAGCTGGAGACCCTGGAGCTGGAGGTGCTGGCCCTGGGGGTGCTGGTGCTGTCGGTGCTGGTTCTGGAGGCACTGTGCGGCCGCGACCGTACTTCGTTCCACTGCTTCAGCAGGTTCTTGGTCTCCCACCTTCTACTGGCCTTCCTCCTCCCTTACTGTGTCCACCGCCTGACCAGTCGCAGTCGCAGTTACAGCCAGCCTCCCCACTGCCTGCTCCTTCTCCTTACACTGGGCCGACAGGAGGTCTTGCGGAGCGTCGTGAGCCTGCGTCTCGTCCTGCGTCGCCTGTTCGCGCTGTACGCACTGGTCGTCGTGTTCCGCGTCCGCGCCCTCCTCCTGTCCCCGGCACGCACCAGATGGCATGTGGATTTTCAGGGTGAAGCGGCCGCCGGGTTCTCCGCCTGTCTTCAAGGCGCGTTACGTTGCACGAGGCTTCAGTCAGCGACAGGGAGTTGACTTCTTCCAGACCTTCTCCCCTACCCCGAAAATGACTACTCTTCGGGTGCTGCTGCACGTCGCCGCTCAGCGTGACTACGAGCTTCACTCTCTTGACTTCAGCACAGCCTTCCTACAGGGCAGCCTGCACGAGGAGATCTGGCTGCGCCGCCTACTTGGCTTCACTGGGTCGTTTCCTGCAGGTACCCAGTGGAGCCTCCGGCGGCCAGTCTACGGTCTCCGCCAGGCGCCTCGCGAGTGGCACGACACACTGAGGACGACGCTTGCGGCTCTTGGGTTTGCTCCTTCGACTGCTGACCCGTCGTTGTTTCTACGCACCGACACTTCCCTGCCGCCGTTCTACATCCTCGTGTACGTCGACGACTTGGTCTTTGCCACTGCTGACACTGCTGAACTGGCCTTTGTGAAGTCGGAGCTGCAGAAGAGACACACGTGCACAGACCTGGGTGAGCTGCGCAGCTATCTTGGCTTGCAGATCACCCGGGATAGAGCACAGCGCACCATTACCTTGACTCAGTCACACATGGTGCAGCAGGTCCTTCAGCGCTTCCGCTTCACGTACTCCTCGCCACAGTCTACTCCTCTGCCTACCGGTCACTCGCTCTCAGCTCTGCCTTCGGATGAGTTCGTAGAGCCGAGTGGCCCGTATCCAGAGCTTGTGGGCTGCCTCATGTACCTGATGACCTGCACTCGACCTGACCTTGCTTACCCTCTTAGCATCGTGGCACGCTACCGTTGCGCCCTGGAGACACCTACCAGAGCACTGGGAGGCCGCTAAGAGGGTGATGCGCTACTTGTGCAGTACGTCGGGCATGGGGCTCGTGCTTGGAGGACGGGCTCGAGTTGTCCTCACTGGTCATGCAGACGCTTCTTGGGTTGACGACCTGGCTACGCAGCCGTCGTCACAGGGTTACACTTTCAGCCTTGGCTCCGGCTCTGTTTCGTGGCGGTCTACCCGCTCGTCTTCTGTTCTCAGCTCCAGTTGTGAGGCTGAGATCTATGCAGGGGCCATGGCTGCACAGGAGTTGTGCTGGCTCACCTACCTGCTGACCGACTTGGGAGAGCCGCCTTGTTCTCCTCCAGTTCTGTACGTCGACAACAAGGCCATGATTGCCTTGTGTCAGGAGCACAGACTGGAGCACAGAACGAAGCACATCGCTCTGCGCTACTTCCTTGCTCGAGAGTTGCAGCAGCGTGGTCAGCTTCGTCTTGCTTACGTGGCCTCTCGGGCCAACACTGCTGATATCTTCACTAAGGCACTTCAGCCTTGTGATCATCAGCGTTTCTGTACTGTTCTAGGCCTTGTGCCTACTTGGCCTCACTTGCTCACTTCTTGACTTTGCTTGTACTGTGATCTATATACTTATACCTGCATGCTTACACTTGCTAGGTTGTGATCACTGTACTGCTTGTTCTCTTTTATATAACTCTGCATGTGAACTGGCCTTGTGGCCATTTGCTTGTGCTCAGAATGCGTGGTGAATCCGTGATCCACCCTGAGCTTGCTTTGCTTTTCTTGACCGGTCTTGTGACCTCTTGTTCTCCCCCACTTTGCCTATGGGGGTGTGTCAAACTTATATGCTGCTTATTGTGTAGGCTATAGTGGGGTAACCCATATTGGGTACAACCCAATTAGGGTTTGCTACTTGTACCCATCTTGCTGCTAGTTCATTCATTCTCGTTCGTTCTTCTGACAGCCCGCACAGCCCGCGCACTGCCCGCCGCCGCCTGCACGCGCCCTGCCCATGCTGCAGCTGCTGCTAAGCTTATGCTGCCGCCCGCGCCGAGTGTCAACATATATTTTATATGTTTAGTTTATGTTAGTCTAGGTGTACCAGTTCACATTCCTAGGGTTAGCTATATCCTCTTGTATCTCGTTTCCCTTAGTCATTATTTTCACCCGTTCTAAACTCGACATGGTATAGAGCTAGTCGACCCTATGGGCCCACCGCCCCGTGCCCCGACCTAGGAACGTAGCCACTCAATACCCGAAGCGCCCTGCCACCCCCCCCTTAGCTCGCGCGTCACCCGTACTGCCCTAAGCGCGTCATCCGTTTAGCCCCGAGCGTCACCCGCTGTT